GCCTTGGAGTTGATTAAAATCATCGTAATATATAGTTCGAAGTTCCCAGTTACAGTGTGCTAACCAGGATCAACATAAACATAAAAAAATGGCCAAATTTCATGTGCTTAAATATAATCAATGGGTTATGGGCAAAACTCGGAATTTATTCCTATCGTTTGACCAACTAATTCTTCAAGACAATCAGCAGCTACTACATTATGTTCATGATATTTGGTTTTGGTATTATTTCAAGCTCGATATATGTCTACTTGCATTGGCCGAATTTCAAACTCATTTTTGAGCCAACTCTAATAGTTTGCGGAGAAACACAATTATTCGCCATGTTTTTCAGCATTGGACTTCAAATGAAGAACGTTAAAATTTTGCATCTCAAGCTCCAAGAGATCGTTGATGAAAAAGGTACTCCAGACATTCTTTCAATATAATTTGTGCTTAAATACTTTTCAATATGATGATCGTTCTATGGCTCATGCCATTATTGATAAGATCTCGAAGATAAAATATATGCAAATTATTGGAAGGCCGAACAGAAGTGTCGCAAATATACAAAAACTATTTGTAGCTACTTTTTACATCCCGTTTGATACAAACACATATTTTGGATGGTATCTTATGTGGTTTATCGTGTCGAATATGTCTATTACGTACATTTGCGTCATGTTATCCATAACATCGTACTTTGTTTCATGCTCAGTGTACAGTTTTGCCATTTGTGATCATTTCAAGTCACTCAAAGAGGATGTGGATCGGAACCAGAAACAAGAGCAAAGTAGAAACTCTTTGGGATATCGGAGTAAAATTGGGTGGACAGTGAACGTCGACAACGAAGTGTATGAGTGAGTAGCGTTGGAATTCTGGGACTTTTAGTTATTTGCACAATTTTCTATTCAATTTTAATGAAAGGATCTCAAACAATCAATTGGATATGATTCCATTACAGTATTTTTCGTATCATGGCCGACATAAATAGTGGAATAATATTTTGGATGATTCCTTGCACTACTATTTGTATGGCTCTGACTATGTATAATATCGAATATGTGAGTAGATACTCGAAATGTTCGCTTTTTGCTTACTTCATCGATCTTGTTTAAATATCTTTTATTTCGATTGCCCCACTTAATTTTAGACACCAGCTTTTGATCCCATGAACGCTACTTGGCATATAGTCTGTATGATTTGTACCATGTTCTGGCCACTTCTCTTCTGTTACTTTGCAACGATTGCTACTCAACGAGTTTATGATGCTGGTGAATTTGCATATGCCTCGGATTGCTTCAACTATCCAGTTGATCTTGAGAAATGTATGATTTTAATCATCAATCGTTCACATGAGCCCATACATTTCACCGGATTCAATCTCTTCTATTGTGATCTAGAGAATTTCGGAAAAGTATGCACTTCACTTCAATTAGGATTGAAAATGAGTGTTTTTTTATATTTTCCATTTTTACAGATTTTCCGGGCTGTTATTTCATGCTTTTCCGTAGTTTAACCAAAATATAAATTCGAAGATAAGATTGCTCGATGAAAAATAAGCGAAGAATTTGTTGAAATACTTGGTGGATAATTTATTTTATTTAATAGAAATGCAATCACAAGAGTGTAAAATGTCAATTTGAATGTCACAGTTATTGTTAAATATAAAAAAAAATTGGAAAATCCGTGCTTTTTAATGTCGAATAATATTCATTCAAAGTCCTCAATACCTAGAAATCGAGCGAATAAATGATATACCATGGTTGTAACTTCTTCCATCTTAAAAAGCTGAAAACTTCAACAAAACCTAGATATTAAATATGTATGAAAGTGAAAACGTGTATCACCTACGAGAATAAATCCAATCAAGTTATTTCAACCAAAAAAAATCTTGTATAAAAACTTCTAAAGTTCAATACTTGGATTACCCAATGGGGAAAAAGTAGAAAATGTACACATTTTATTGTGCACAACACGTGTACGTACGTACATATATATCCGATATACATTTGGTTACGTACATTTGGTTTTTGTACATTTTTTGTGTACGGAATATGCACAAACTTTAATAGCGTGAACCATGCATTTATATATATGCGCACTTTCTGTGCACATATTATGCACAATTTATGCACATTATGTGTATTAAGTAACTATAAGTAGTATGCGTCGAAGATATGATTCTCCTAGTGATTCTCTGAGTCGCAGTTCAATTACAGAGCAATTGATTGATATAAATATTCACAAAAATACAACAGCTATACACTGGAGTATTTCGATTCGGAAGTTTCATTTTGAGTTGAATGCCACTCATTTTTGCTGTGTGTGTTTGATGTGTCTTCTGAAAATCAGCAAAACACACATAGAATTTATTGAATCATTAGATCGTTTTTCTGCGGTATAAAACTGTTGAATATGAGCGAATACAAATCGAAATTTTAGTAGAATTCACAAGAAACGATTCGCCTAAACCGAATGTGCTATGAGCTTGTCTTTTTCTCGTCTTATATCACCGGCTTCTGACTACGCCTTTTGTTTTCAATTGGATTTGTACTTTCAATTTTGCTGAAAGATAAAGTTGGCTACAGAAGATTTCAATTCAAGATGTTTTGGAATGAATAACGTTACAAACAAAAGTCAATTTATATTTGTATTTAACAAAAAGAGATTTATTGCTCGAATATTTTGATTATTTATTCTTCAACAATCAATTAAACTATGTTTTGTGCCTATTGTACAGAATTGTTCAGGATCAGGTTCAGGTTCAGGTTTATGTTATTGTTTTGATTTAAGTTCAACAAAAAAAAATGAGTTGTTTGTTCACAATGGCAACGGCATGCAGTTGCACACAAATCTCAATTGGTATTTAACATTTGAATTTACAATTCTTCTGGTTTTGGTGTTTCCGGTGGTGGAATTTCTGGTTGCTTTTGGTGCGCTTTTATTAACGACTTGGCCGTGGCCGCATCACTTTCCAGCGTGAATGTTCTTCCATCCGTCAAAGTAAAAACATGACGTACCGCTGCTATATCGTCGTATTTATAAAGCTTTTGAGAATTGTAGCCTCGGTAGATACGTCATTTTCTCTGTAAAAACATTCTGCAGATGTGTCGTTCTCTGTGTGTTACTTTATTTTTCATCATAATTTTTATTAGTTTTCTACAAAAACTAGATGAAAATGTTCGTACTGAACATTTGGACGTTAGCACGTGTCCAAACAATTTCATGTATTTCGTCAATTTTTCTCTTTAGTTACAATTTTCCATTGTAATTGCAGCTCCATTGAATGGCATTGAAAAATACTTCCTTTGAAAAAAAAAAGAAGAGTAAACTGAATGAGTTTTGGTTTTGATCTAGGTTTTGATTGTGGTTTTTCCATTCTAATTCCTATATTAAGATAAATTCCACGCTATCGAAGCCATTGATCATATCATAATATGTTTGAATGAGCAATTCACGTCACATATGTGTGTGTGTGTGTGTGTGCATGAGTGGTCACAGTGTCTATTGGTGCGATTTACGTCAACGCGATTAATGTAACGTGTAATATTTATCACTGAATCCAAAATAATGTACTATATATAGAGCATATTGCTTACACAATGCATGACGATGCATAAAATGCACCGTATGTAACCGTCGAAAGCGCCGAAGGTTATTTGGCATAGTATTTTTCTGTTCGGTGAAATGTGCTGAGCATATGCAAAATATTGCCCATTGACATTGAAATTGTTCAGTATGAACTTTTCAAGTCGAATGCACAGGCAAATATACACACACACACACACACGCTCGCTTGGTGCATTACTATAGTCAAGTGTGCATCAACAACAAATTGCGACGAAAGCGCACTTAATCCAAAAATAACCTATTAGACTTTTAATTCTGCTATACGTGCAATATATATTATGTTGGCAAATGACGTGCAACATTGACATGATGATGTTTAAACATTGCACTCATGCGACAACGATTACAGACAACGAGTAGTTGCTGGTGCTGCCTGCTGCCTCCTGCTGCTGGCATTTGATGCACGAGTGCACGGGCACTGCATTTCAAATATGCAAAGCATCAAGTCACAGGCCCGTTATTCCCGTTGGAAAGCGAACGCTACGATATCGGTGCACGCTTCGGCAATGGCATGTAAAGCGCACGCTTGAAGCATCACACACAGACCAGCCAGTCGCATCGAGGATGCACTTTTGTTGGAATGTGAATGCAACCTCAGCTTTTTAAATTTATCGCTGTGAAACTTTTGCAGGTTATCAGCTGAAGCAAAAGTCTCTCTTCCTCTCTTCAGCTCTTCATCTCCTTCTCGACCTGTTTCTGTTTATGCAATAGAAAAGTAGATGCAATAGAGTTTATGCAATAGCAACTGACGTTTGGATTGTTTTGGTTTATGTCTCCGGAATGCCTTAGAAATGTGCAAAATAAGCAAAATGTAACGAAAATAAAACTTTCCAAACGATAAATTTGTCGAAAAGTTTTTGTGTGGCCAAGTTGTTGTGGTTGCTGAACAATTTTGAACATGTCATAAATTTACATCGAGTGTTGCCTTCGTCTGCCATCCCATTCCCATACACCAACATTGAACGCCAATGTGGACGTTCGTACAAGATTTCGCATAACAACATTCCATTCGTGTTCGTGCATGAGTCGTTTGCACTCGTATTGCTGGGTGCAATTGAAAATAGCATGGAAAGTCATGTATATTTCCCATGCTTTTCCATTACTTTCGCTCGCACCATACACAAACTCACACACACATATGAATACATTGGAAATTGCAATGCGCCTTCGTTGGGCGCACGAGAGACACAAACGAAAAACTGATGAAAAAAGCAAGCACAAAACAGCCAACAATAACAAATGCTTCATGTTGCGATTAAATGCGAACCGTGGAAAAATGCTGTGTGTTGCAACGCGCGCGCTGCCACACATGGAATGCACCATGCAATGCACATTCACTTCAGTTAGGATAGAATCGGCGTACCTCACCGTTCATTCGTCCGATTTTTTCTCTCTTCTCGCAAAATTTTCACATGCTCACACAACCAAATGTGGCAAACAGTTTCCGCACTCTCACATTCGAGATCACATGTATCCGTGCGACAGCTACAGTCCAAAATGAAATTCAGTTAATCAATTAGCCGTGACAAACGCTCAAAACAACGAATTGTTCTCTTTTTTTTTTATTCTGGCTGTTTTAGTTTGATTGTTGCAATTATTTGACGTACGAAATTCGGGTGTCGAGATTTTCTTCACTCCGTGTTTGTGCTGTGGTTTTTCTTCTTCTCGTATTGCTGGACAAAAACGAATTTATTCACAGGCACGTGCAAATGCTCAATAATTAATTAAAAGTGAAGTGGTTTTTGAAATAGTAGTCATCGTTCGTTATCGTCGTCATCATTGTCGTTGTCATTGTTGTTGTCCACTCGCTCTCGCTCTCTTGCAATCGGTGCAATAATGGAAAATAATTTGTCCGCGTGTTAGTTTTGAATCAAGTGAAACCAATTGAATGAGTGTTACACGAGTGCGCGGATTGTGTATAGTTCCAGTGCCAGTATTTATGAGAAGCTGTGAAACAAATGTGTAAATGAATGCAATTTATTTTAATGCATTTGATTCACTTTAAATTGAAAATATATGTGGCGATGGTGTCATAGTTTAGTAACGATTTACAGCGCAATGAAACTCTCTCTCTCTCTCTTTCCTCTCGCTCCTTCGCTCGTTCGTTCTCTTCGCCCAGATTTCCTAGAAGTTAAACACTGTGTGCAATACACACAGTAAGTGGAACAATAAACAAACGGTGCTCCGATTTGAAAGCTTTGTAAACAAGGATTTCAAGTGAAACGAACACAACATTTTGAATACATCGACGGGCCGAATACACCGAATTCATATAAATGCACTTCAAGTGTGCTAGTAACAAGTAACGTTTTTTTCGGTGGTGTTGGTGGTGATGTTGGAGTTTGTGTTGTCGAACCATTCATTTCGTAAACGTATTTTGCATTGCCTTTGAAACTATTCTCACTACGTTTGCAAAATGGTGTATATCCTTAACTTTTTGCACCGTAACAGGTATTATGAAACTAATTACTGAACCGCCGTGTTTCAAAGAAATGGAATATGCTCTCGCTAATTGTCATCATCAACTTCCCGAAGCTCATTTACATTTGGCATATACGCGTCAGGGAACATATAACCCTGGATTTTTCAGCTATGAACGTCTGGATTTTCCCACATTTTCACTGATTTTCTTTTGAGCGCTGTATATTCCACTCCGCCTCCAGATTTTTGCAGTTTTGTGCGTTTCCATTTCGTTTTGTAGGTCGTACGAAACGGTTTCTGTGAAGTGAACAGTTGTTGAAAGATGAGAAAGAATAAAAAAACGCGGCAAAATAATATAACATTTTTCCAACTATATAATCCAAACGGAAAGAGTCCATTTTAAACGTGATTTTGTTTGTTTTTTTTTTCTTCTCTACAACAACCGCACAACAACTCTGTGAACGCGAACGTGAACGGCGACCAGTATGTTTCGTTTAGCATTTCTTTTATCGTCGTTCATTCGCTCATTTGCTCTTTTCTGCTGCCGCTAAGTGTGTGTGTTTTCAGTGAAAAATTTCACTAAATTATACTGCAGTGAGCAAATATGTGCAAATGTTACAAAATCAGAAATGATTTATTGCATGCAGTCTATGCACTGATTTCATTCGGCCGTTCTCTCCTGTTGTGCATGTGTTGTGTGTGTGTATACTTTTCTTCCTCTTTTTTTCCCCAGCACACAAAATGCACTCGAAAACGAACTCAAAATTAAGCGCTCCGCAATATGAATCTCGTGCTAAATTATGCAATACATACAAATCACACCTTGAAACACTTCCTCATCCGTTGTGTATTGCAAAAAAAGGAGTGTGCTGGTTTTTTTCCCTCTTTTCTTTTCTATTTGCTGGTGTCGTTCCGCTAGTTGAGTAACTTTTTATTCTGCTCGCTCATCGTCTTTCTTCGATAGCTCACCACCTTTTTCCGTCTTCGGTTTCAATTCTTTTAATATGCCTGGGGAAAAATGGTCGGACAAGCAATAAAAATAGCACTGTTACTGAGTTTTCACCGCCGTTTTTGATTTCATCGTGCTGCGTCGGTCTCCCTCGCTCTGTCATTCCCTGTTTCTCTATTACTTTTAATGAGTTGCACATGCACAACGGGGCCCGCGTCGTCTGAACTCAGCGAAAATGAAATGGTCGCATGTCTCCAATGACTGGACTTGTTTGTTTGCACTTTCAGCCATTTTTTCCCCATCCCCTCGTACACCGCACATACTAGAAATACTCGAGATATTTAGATACAAAACAAACATTCTAGATGGAATATTTAAGTATCCGTTTTGTTTTTTTCCCGGTTTTGAATGTGGGATTCATTAAAGTTTTGCATCCAGAAAATTTTAGACTAAGCGCATCCGGGATGGCATATTCAAACTACATACATTTGAGCACATTCTGCACAACGAATTGAATTTAAACACTTTCCAAAATTATCCCCCAGAGACATTATTGCGAATCGTCTCACAAGGAATAATCTCAATTAACATAAATTAAGCGGTTTCATTTGCTGAGTGTGCTATACACTTGGCACAAGGAAATGTACTGAATTTTGCATAAATCATGTTATTCCACCATTGTCACCACCCGCCACCACCAACGACGACGTTGCATCGCTACAGAAAAATGCAAATCCATTTCATTCGTTGGGCAAAACTCTCTCTCTCTTTCGCACGCGCGCGACTCAAATTATCAAGTGGAGCAAATTCGCAATCAACGGATACTTTTAGCTTGAAGCAAATTTCCTGCTGAAATTTCGTTTTCCTTTTCTTTTAATATTTTCATTTCAATTTCCGATGAATATATACCAAACTACTTGAATGCACTTCACTTCAGGTGAATTGCACTGGATGAAGTTTGTTTGGTATTTTGATCGTAACGGCATGCGGACGGGTGGAGTGGGGTGGATTTTAATCCACATAAAAGGAAAGAGCTTTAACATGCATTTTGCGTTGTATTCAGCACGGCTCCTGTTTACACAGCTTAGTATTCATAGTGAGAGTTTGCCTTGTTGACGGAGAGAGAGCGAGAGCGCGAGAACACGAGAGGATGAAGAGAGAGAGAAAGAGAGAGAGAGAGAAAGAGTGAGTGCTTCACATTGAACGCCACTGTAATTTATATGTTTGCGATTGCACGCTTCAAGCGTTTGTTCAATGCAGATTTTTGCATATGCAAATAATAAATCAATATTTGTATGTAGTTAGATGGAGTGCATTGTGTGAGGCTCTTGTAATGAACTCGCTGACGCTGCTATTGCAATTAGACTAAAATACAAATATTCAGCGCCCCAATTTTCCATGAAAGAGACGCAAACAAGAACAACAGCAACAACAGAAAACGAACCAAATCACATATCGAAGCTGGTAGCACGCTCGTTTGCAGCGAAAAAAAGTCACAAACTTTAGTTTCGTGTCGCTGATTAAATATGCATAAAACCGCTTTTAAACTGACCACACAAATTTATAAAAGTTGTGAACCTGTGTATTGATTACATCGAAACAAAATTTATTAAGGTCATGAAAAATTAATGAGTTGAAGCAAACAAGAACAAAAATAACAACAATAACAACACACACACACACACACAGCTAGTAAATAATTTATTCGGTGAAGTTTTGTTGTTGGTGAAAATAAAATGAATTTCATTTGAAATTCGCTAGCTTCCAACTGCAGGCGAGTCGAACTTTTGTGACAAGTGACTCGGTTTGTTTTTCTCCTCGAAAACACTCAATCGTTAATGTGCACCGTGTATCCATCAGCGTACTACGACCAAAATGAACACACGAAATTTGGTAACATCGTTATCACAAACTCTGGACACCAGTTGCACGGATTTTCCCGATGGCTTCGAGGAAACGCAACAGCTACAGGTAAGTCTCAATGTTCGTCATTTTTTTCTCTTTTCGATGGTAAATTAAAATTTTCTCTCTTCGATGGCAAGAGAGCTTGATCTCATTTTGCATTCAGTGATGCAATCTCGTTATTTCCCGAAGTAGAGAATGTTCAAGGGATGCATCAATTTTTGTTTGTTACAAGCAATTTGCTTTAACAAGTGTAAAATTGAATTGTTCTTTTCTGCAGCCGAAGAAATCTATTCTGTCGGCTTGAATGCGTCTTAAGCAGGCAACAATCCTATCGATTAACATCACAAATCGATAGCTTAAGTGCATTACGGGCACGGTATACAATGAATGGGAGTGGAAGAGAGAAAGTCAAGACCAACATTCGATTGTTAGCACGAACGATGGGTGCGATTACTTGGTGTTTTCGAGTAAGGAATATATATATCCCATGTCAAAACTGGTGACACTTATCCGGCTGCAAGAATTTTCCTTCATCATATTCGTGTTCCATATTCTTGCGTTGTGTGTGTGTGTTGTAATAGTCTTTTCACTTTTCCTCAATCTCGGTTACCGGCCTCAAACAATCGATTCGATGGATTATTATTATCATCGCATTGCATCTTTTGCAGCCATTTCACTTTATATACTACTTGTGTGCCATTGTTCCATGTTGAACAAAAGGAAAAAGTTAAAAAAAAAATAAAATCGCTTACACTTAACGTCGCTGACAACACACAAGATGAAGGAGAAGAAAAAAAAACTCGAAAACTATTATGAATTCAATCTTATGCCATTTAGTAATGGTTGGATTCAATACGTATTCTTACAGTGTAAGAATATTACAGAAAGAGATGGAGAGTGCAATAGGAGCACCGACAACAAAATAACATTAAGGGATGATCCATAAATTATAAAAAAATCAAAAAACCAATAAGTGAATGCCGTACACACACAGAAAAGTAAGTTTGAAATGGTCAACCAAATGGTTGATAAATCGCTTGAAAAGTATTAATAACAGTTTTTTGGAGTTTATTTGAAAAAAAAAATGTGTTTTCTTCTTGTTGATGTCCTTGTTGAATAGCAAATGGTTAAATCGAGATGTTAGTTTCATCACAGCAAGACTTACAATCGAGATCATCGATGACGATTCCCGATTAAATTATTTGAAATTTTCTTCTTGAAAAAAACTTCAAAAGATTTCATAAACAATTGAAAATCAATTCGTTTGCCCTTTATTGTTCGATCAATTGGTGAGAAATGGAAGAAAAGTGGTGTTTCAAAATGGACAACGCTTTCTCTTGATATGCCAAAAGTATTGAATTTCTTAAAAACACCTACTTTTCAACAGTTTTATTGAAATTTTTTATTCTCTTTGAAAATTGTTCATTAAATTTTACGGCAAATGTAACCGTTCGTTAGAGTTGGCTGTTTCATTTTATCTGGCATTATTATTATTATTTATTTGGTTTTTTCATGCTTACATATAGTTGTACAATGATTGAGATTTACTAATTTAAATGACTTTAGAATTTATGACCACACTTTACACGGAACAATATAAAGATTTCTTTCTTTCATCATTACATGTTATGGTATATAAATAATTTACCAGTCCATATATGTACATTTTTAGGACCAAATATTTATGAACTAAATAATACGAAACGCCAAATACAAATGATATCGAGCGTACTAATCAAAAGAGAAAATAATGAGCAATGCTATCGTGGCAACGGCAACGGTGGCGGCTGTTGAAATTTTGAAGAAAAAAAAAATCACTAACCGACGAGAGAGAAAGAAATATTCACACATTGCTTGAAATAAAAGCCGAAATATTCGTAATTAATCCACATTTCCGTTTATAACAACTTCAAAATATGGATGGGTTATTTTTTTTTCGCCGCAAACTCAATGGAATTACTTCTTCTCTCTATATGTTTTTTTCGCCATTAGAAACCAACTGAAATTGGTTGGAGTAAATTGGCCGTTTGTTTTCATTTGAATTATTTTTTTTTGTTCGTTGGAGAAAAAATTAACGCCGGGAAAAAATGATGAGTTATAATAAAACCATTAAATGTTTTCTCTATCTCTCTTGAAACCAAGTTATGTATGTGTGTGTGTGTGTACTCCAAGAGCGCGGAAAAATTCGATTGAGCCATCATCGCATCGCGGCTGTGCCAATCGTGGCGCATCATGTATTTCATAATTAAACAATTAAAAGGAAGGGAAGAACAACTAACTGCAAACAAATAGTGAAACCAAACAGCAACAGCGGCAGCGGGTCAAATGTATCGAGTGCTAGTGCTCACACACTTTTTGTATGCTCTTTGTACCATGCGATCGCTCCTAATTTATTTTTATTATTTACGATGTGAGCGTTTTTTCGTTATTTTTCTGTTTGTGTTTTTCCGTCTAATTCAGTTTGTTAATTTTGAGGTAAATTGGCATTTGTTTACGGAACGCAGCAGTATAAAGAAAGAAAAGAACGATACGCAGATAGCAAAAAGCACATGAACCACATTCGAAATTTACAATATACGTGGTTTAATGCTAGCCGCTGTTTCTCTCGCTCTCGTTCTCGTTCAGGAATTGAAATATTGTTTATTGTCTTGTTAGTTGCGTTCACTTCAATTTAATTATGCTTTATCCAGTCCATTCATCGTGAGTGCGTTCTTATTTTTATTCTATTTTTTTAACGGGGCCCCGTTTATTTTTTACAGTTTTATGTGTGTTTAAACAAAAATTAAATTGGATTATATCTAACTCGATGTCTCTGTGAACCTGTGCTGGGTTCGCAGTAGCAATTGGCATTAGAACCATTGAATATTTCCGCTTGCGTTCGCCGTTTCAATGGCACAACGAATTTCGGTTGTTTGATTTGTGCTCAATTTTGTTTCACATTACACAGACATTGTTTGAAACAGACGAAGAAGAAAACCAGAGAAGAAAAAAAAACTAACACAATTTGACTTCAGTTCGGCGAAATCTCACGACTTTGGGCGATAGAAAAGTTTGATAACGATGATGTTATTATATTTTCCATTTTATAGAAGTTAAGATTTAATTTAATTTAATCAAATGAATGATGGAAATAGAAACAACGGCCACACATACACACACACACACACACATACCGTAAAAAGGTATTTCGGTGCGCATTGGCCAACCGCATTGACCTTCGTTTTTATAATGGTAATATTTTCAATGGAATGGCGAAGACGTTATCCAACTGAGAGCTAACACACACATGCACATAATGAGATCCGTTGAAATGTAAATCGAAAAGCAGAAGAAAAAAATTGGCAATGCAAAATTCGTGTGGGGACATTCGAAAATCGAATTCCAAACGCAATTGAAGGATAAATGATATTTATGAGTTGAATTTCAATAATTTGCGGTCTTTTATCTACGTTCGATTGCGTGGCCAATGGTATTGGCGCACTTTCAATCGCATTTGATTCACATTATTGCTCATATGGAATAACCATAAAGACAACCGTCTCTTTTGCTCTCTGTCTCTTATCTAACAGTCGAACTGACTCCTTGCATGTGTATGTGTGTGAGTGTATAAATAAAATATTAAAATTACGTTTGTGCGCATTTAGATCGAGCAGCATCAGCAGCAGCAGCAGGTAACAAAAACTTATGATCTGATGAATAATGGAATTCTAAATGAAATTTCTACTTTCTATGCTCTGAATGCGTCTCGCATTGAGGCAGGTATGCGTTGTGCAAACCTTTTTTGTCTCTCCATGCTTGTGAGTATGTGAATCGAAAAGGAATATAACAGAAAGAAAAAAAAGTAAAATGAAAAACAAGGAACCGAAAAAAGAAAGGACAAATAACAACATATGATGACATGTGGAATTCTTTGCTAGCTTGACGATAGTAGGCGAATACGATGCATATGTCAAGCGCATATTTTTTTGGTCGGTCGGTGGGAACAATGTTCATATAGACGTGCGCGACACTAAACATCCGTCCTTATCAAATGAAAACCATTTTGTGAAAATTTAACTATCCCATATTCAAGGCATTAATGCGAAAATTTGCCAAAAAAAAAACTGATATCAAATTAGCTAATTAGTTTTGTGCGGTTGTGGATGACTGCCTGACATTTTCTTCTCGTTTTTGTGCAGATTTGACGTCAAAATGGATGAGCACTTAGTGGTAGTAACCACACGCTCGCGTTCGCTCACGCTCGCGTTCGCTCCAGCAGTCGATGCATTTTCCGACGTTCGCTCAAAATGATGAAGACAGATTATCTCTTACATTTGCAACCACCAAAATTATATGTATCCATATTGTGTGGTGGAAATTCGAGTTGACAACGAGAAATGTATACGTAAATGTGAGCCATCTTCAACCTTTTCAGCAATCACTTTCAATGAAATTCACCAAAAGAGAGAGAGAAAGATTTTATGAAATTGAATCGAATCGGTCAATAGCGTTGGTGTTAGAAAAGAAAATGGTCAAAAATCAGGTAAACCTATTTGATTCAACATTTTATGTTGAACAAACGGCGTAATTTTTCAATGCGTTAGTTATTTGAGCAAAAACCATTTCTATTTTGTACACAATCGTCTTACACGAAACCATTTTCCTATATAAATATCCCTATCTCGAATACAATTTATCTTGGTCCATTGTTGGCATTTCGGTTACATGCTCATGCGGCAAACACATGCGCGCACATATTACGAGGGCCACATTTGAACGTAGCCAAACGTTCGGCATCAGACACACCAACCGAAAATCATACACAATTTAAACCGATTTCATGAAGAAAATGTACTTGCAATCGGCTTCGCCTCGGAAAGTGAAATAACCGAAAGAAAAGGTACCGAAAACGGCATTCGGAAAAAAAACATGCACATATATTTATTTTATAATGTACAGTTGAATACTTAGCATTGACAAGGGTAAGAAATATTTCTTAAATTTTTTTTCTCTCTTCTATGTCGTTCGTGTACGATTCGTTGGCAGGATAGGAGAGAAAAAAAATCATGCATTAAAGTGTATTTTCG